ATATATATATATGTACAATTGCTAGGATTTAGGATTCATCCACATTATTACATGTTGTGGTAGTTTGACTCTTGGGTCACTGCAAACAGTTTTGTACATGCCTTCTGTTACACTTGTGCAAGAATCTCTTGGCTATGTGCTTTGGAGTAGAATTGTCTCGTTGTTGTTGTTGTTGTTGTTGTTGTTGTTGTTGTTGTTGTTGTTGTTGTTTGGGAGACAGGGTCCTGTTATGTAGCCCACCCAGCAAGTTGACCTCAGACTTGAAATCCTCCTGCCTCAGCTTCCCAAGTGCTTGGGTTATAGGCATGCACTACCACACGTGGCTTCTGTTACTCTTTTGTTTTTGTTTTGTTTTGTTTTGTTTTGTTTTTTGAGACAGGGTTTTGCTATGTAGTTCAGGCTGGCCTTGACCTCACTGTGTAGCCCAGGCTTGTCTCAAACTCACTGGGATCTTTCTGCCTCAGCCTCCTGAGTCCTGGGATTATAGGCATGCACTACCATGCTCAGCTCATGTTACTCATTTTTTAAATCAACTTTATTGAGATAAAATTCACATATCGTACAATATATACCTTCTTAACATATACAACTCATTTGTTTTAGTGTATTTACAGAGTTGTACAACCATTACCACTCTCCTGTTTCAGAACATTTTCATCGCCTCCAGAAAAAATCCCTTACTCATTGGCACATCCCTTCTTCCTGCCCTTGGCAACCACTAATCTGTGTTTTCTATGAATTTGCCAGTTCTCAATAATGTAATCTTAGGCTGGACATGGTGGTACATGCTTATAATCCCAGCCCTTGGGAGACTGAGTCAGGAGGATTTCCAGGTCAGCATATATATGTGATCATATATGGCTTTTGTGTCTGACTTCTTTCACTTAGCATGTTTTGAGGTTCATCCATGTTGTAGCATGTATCAATACTTGATTCCTTTTTATAGCTTAGTAGTATTTTCTTTTTTGGTACCAGGCATCAAATTTGGGACCCCAGCAGGCCTCAGAACCACTGAGCTAAGTCCCCAGCCCTAGCTTAGTAATATTTTCTTATATTTTGTTTATTTCTTTATCAGTTGATGGTTATTTGGTTGGTTTTCATTTTTTGGCTATTATGAGTAATGCTGCTGTCAGCATTTATGTAGAAGTTTTTGTGTGGACTTATGTTTTCATTCTCTTTGTGTACATACCAAGGTATAGAATTACTGGGTCCCATAGTAACTCTGTTTTTAATTTTTTTTGGTACCGGGAATCGAACTCGGGACCTTGTGCTTGCGAGGCAGATGGCAGATGTGTTTAATATTTTGAGGAACCAAGACCCTGTCTCACAATTTTAAAAAAAAATTTTTTAAGGACTTCAGGTTATAGCTCAGTCTGAAGGCCCTGAGTTGAATCCACAGTACTGAAAATACACACACACACACACACACACACACACACACACACACACACACACATAAGGAAACTTGGGTTCAGAATAGTTAGATGAACTAAGTTCCCCATAATAGGTTCTTTGGTGCCTTCAACTGACACAGAATATTGGGATCAAACCAGGCTGAAGCAAATAAACATATTTATCCATTCAGACTAGCAGCACATTCATAGCCCCCTGTCCCCACCACCCTTCCCATTGTGGACAGGGAAAGTTGGCTTTTGGAGAAGGACTTTAAGACACATGTGAAAATAGCTTTCAGGAAGATTGGGTGAACTGAAAGTCATTTCAGGAATGTTCACATACCAGTTGTAGTTTCAAGAAGTTTACTTGTGTCTTCTTTCACTTATTCTAGGAAGAACTGCAGGCCAACCTGGACTTGATTCAAACCTACAGACTGCATATTGCTCAAGATATCAACCAAGAAAACCTACAGCTCTTCCTGGGTTCCTATAATGGGTACAGTTGTTTCTCATTCCTTCACTTAGGTATAGATGAGGTCTAAAAAGATAATTGGCTTTTAAGGGAAGAGGTAGGGGAAATAAACTACTTCTCCCTTTTTTTTTTTTTTTTTTTTGGTACTGGGGATCGAACTCGGGTCCTTGCACTTGCGTAGCAGGCGTTGAAACCACTGAGCTAAATCCCAGGCCCACTTCTCCCATTTTTAATAATGGGATTGGCTTTATACTGTTTCAGCAAAATAGGAGCAAGACTTTAAAAATGTTAGCTCTTTCTTGCTTTCTGGAAACATGGAAAAAGACTGAGGAAATGGGTCAGAGTTATACAGCCAGCAAGAACCAAAGCCAGGTTTTGAACTTGTTCTCTACAGCCTCCTCCCTATTTTAACTTGAAATCAGGAAAATAAAGTCTTATGCTACTGTTACAAGCAAAATGCACCCCCCAAGTAAAAATGATGTTAGTAATTCCCTTCTCTTAATGAATTTATTCCTGTAAACTAGTTGGAAAATTAAAAAGTTAGGACTTGAGAATCTTAGTAGTTTTGCTATTGAATTTAAAGTTGTATCCTTTTAGCACTCCAGTCTCTTGTTCCTACTCTGTACCATTCAAGAGACCACTAAAATGGCTACTCCAGAACAATGTTCAGGAATGAAAGAAAGACACTTTTCACATTCCTTGATACGTTTTGGTTTTCAAAGGCATTGATTTTTGCTTTTTTCTTCTAGACGCAGAGACCTGGAAATTGAAAGACCCATACTAGGCCAAAATGATAACAGATTAAAAACATTAAAGTAAGTCCCTCAGTTTCTCCTTAAATTGCTAAGTATCTGAATTGCCTGTTGTGACTAATTCAGTGTTGAGTGGAGTATGTGTGCTTATTTACTGAGTGATACCTCTTCTTTTGCCTGTACCTAGGTGCTCTACTTTACTTGTGGTAGGAGACAACTCACCTGCTGTTGAAGCTGTGGTGAGTATGTCCTGGTGTTGCAGTGAGGACAGATTAAAATGTAGTAAAATGTGTAGAGCACTCTGCCGACACACTTGAAACAGTTATTATTAGCTTTTCAGAGTTTGCTTTTTGTTATACATGTTAGAAAATTAGTTCTTCATCAGTCACTAGGCTTCATCCGATAGGGTCATTGTTGCCCTTGATTGCTTTGTGTGGTCTAGTTCACTTTGTGGCAAGGAGTACAATGAAGCACCATTTCTTTATTGTCAGATTCCAGGCCACCTAGCCTTCAATGTAAAATAGATTACCACCATAAGTACAGCAGGCTAGAAGACTGCTGAAAGCCTATGTGCTTTTTCACTACTTCCTCCTCAGGTACATAGTACATTGACAAAAATAATATGTTCATTGTAGGAAATACAAAAACTCGTCAGGTGTGGGGCACACTATGAGCCCATTATCCAAAGATTTGGGGACCTTATTATTTAACACTATTGATAGCATTTTTCCATATTATAAAATCAATATGTCTGTATATTATTGTCTATATACCCTTATTTACTTAATTTCTCCTGTTGTTTGTTTCTGATTTTGTATCATTACTAATGTTGAACATCCTTATTAAATCTTTGACTGAATGTTTATTTCCTTGAGGCTATTTGCAGAAGTAAAGTTAATGGTTCAAAAATCTTGGTTTTTTTTTTTTTTGAGACTGGGTCTCACTATGTAGTTCAGGCTGGTCTCAAACTTGTGATCCTCCTGTCTCACCCTCCCAAGTACTGGGATTACAGGTATGCGCAACCATGCCAAAAAACATAGACTTTTACTGGATATGGTGGCACATGCTTGCAATCCCAGATAGGAGGCTAAGGCAAGATCACAAGTTCAAGGTATCCTGGGCAATTTAGTGAGACCTGTTTCAAAATAAAATAAATTTTAAAAGGGCCAGGGATTTAGCTCAATGGTTCCAGCACCTGCCTTGCAAGCGCAAGTTCCCAAGTTCGATCCCCGGTACATACATACATACATGCATACATACATACATAAAAATTAAAAAAAAAAAAAAAAGGCTTGGGGATGTAGCTCAGTGCTAAAGTGCAACTCTATCATGCCCAAGGCCCTGGGCTCAATCCCCACTATTGCAAATAAAGTAAAAATGAACTTTTATAAAGATTTTAATAATTTTGCCAGATTCATTTCCAGAAAAGCCGTATCAGTATATTGCCACCAGCAATATATGAAAACTGCCTGTTGTTTGATCCCCAGTACTGAAGGAAAAAGAAAAAAAGAAAACTGCTTGTTTCACTGTACCCTATGCAGCACTAAATTTATTTATTTATTTTTACGATGCTAGGAACTGAACCCAGAGCCTGGCACACATAAGGAAGATCTACACCAGTGAGATATGTCCCTAGTAATTAATTTTATAGGTTAAAACTTACCAGTTTGTTAGGGCTAGGGATGTAGCTCAGTGGCACTGCACCTGCCTGGCAAGCACAAGGTCCTGAGTTTGATCCCCGGTACTGGAAAAAAAAATGGTATTCTTGGCCAGGTGTGGTGGTGCACCCCTGTAATCCCAGTACATGGGAAGTCTGAGGCAGGAGGATTGTGGTGAGTTCAGGGTCAGCCTGAACTACATAGCCAGACCCTCTCTCGAAAGTAAAATATGGTATTGATCCCCAATACCAAAAAAAAACCAAAAAAATAAAATATGGTATTCTTACTATTTTAATTTGCATTTGTTTGATTATAAATAAAGCTGAAAGTTTTCAAATGATTATTATGTCTTTTCTGTACCTTAATTTAACAAAGTATATGTATGTCCTTGCTTGATTTTCTTGGGCAACTTTCACTTCTGCCCTGTCTAGAGCAGAATGTTAAGGAATAAGACTTTTTGGAAAGGAAATTTAATAAAGTAACCAGAAAGCAAGGTTTATGGGTTAGGAGAGTGTTTGTAAAGTGAGATAGAAGTGAAAATAGGCTATGTTCACATCTCCCTGAATTTCCCAGTAAACCATTCTATGTCTGGTGTAAAATATATGGTGTGACTTATACATGGAGATACATAATCTTCATTTCGCAAATTCCCCAGCCCTAAAACGTTCTGAAAGGTAATAAAGCTGTAGTGGTTATTCCAGTTCATCAAGGAGTTTTATAGGCTGAGAGTGTAGCTCAGTGGCAGAGTGCTTACCTAGCATGTGCAAGGCCCTGGGTTCCATCCCCAGTACTGTGGGTAGGAGTGGGAGGTTATGAATGTTAGTCTTTTCTGGCTAAAAATATAGATAACAACCAGGCCAGGCATGGTAGCGCACATCTTAATCCCAGCACTTGGGAGGCTGAGGTAGGAGTATTGCTATGAGTTTGAGGCTAACCTGGGCTACATAGTGAGTTCAAGGCCAGTCTGAACTACATCGTGAGACCTGGTCTCCAAAAAGAAAAAAACAAAAGAGAGATATGTATTACAAAATATATACTAAAAACATTTTTCATAAGCATGTGAACTAAAAACAAGAAAATAGGATTGTTTTTCGAAAATATCCATAATTAGAATTCTTTAGTAATGCTGAGTCAGCAGGGTATGGTGATGCATGCCTGGGGAGGTTAAGGCAGGAGGATCACTGGAAGTTCAAGGCCAGCCTGAGCTACCTAGTGAGACCCTGTCTCAAAAATCCAAAAAACCCAATAATAATGGTAAATATTTCTGTAAATCTTGTATCTAAGTTATTTGTCTTTTTAAAATTGTGTGGTCTTTGTGCCTGGGATTTAGCTCAGTGCCACAGCACCTGCCTTGCAAGCAGAAGGTCCTAAGGTCAATCCCCAGTACTGCCAAAAAAATAAAATTGTGTGGACTTAAAGTGACATATTACAGTTATTTTTCAGAACTGTGATTTAGCCCATAGATAAGGTCTCTTCCTCTTTCTGATTTCCACACTCCAGCATTTATAGAGAACTTCAGGGGCTCTATCTGTAGCACAGAGTAGATGTTCCCCAACTCACAGGCAGACCTGGCTCCCCTGCCAGAACGCTTCATCCTACTATGGGAGGGATTAGAGGGATATCCACATGTTGAAGAGCCAGGAGAAACTCCACAAGTCTTAGGCAGGATTGCCAGCTGTTCTTACTCGCTTATTCAGCATCACTTTAGCTTCTCTGGTTTGCTTAATGTTATGGAGACTATAAACATGAATATGATAAAGTGCCTCAGGGGAGTTTGGAGAGAGAGTAGGGATGTCAAAAACCAACAATTGAGCCAGTCATGGTGGCACATGCCTCTAATCCTAGCTGCTTGGAAAAGTGAGGCAGGAGAATTGCAAATTTGAACTAAGCCTAGGCAACTTAGTGAGAACTCGTCTCAAAAAATAAAAAGGGAAAAAAAAAAAAGAAGCTGGGAATGTAGCTCAGTGGTATCCAAGGCCTTAAAAAGTCCAAACTTGGGCTGGGGATTCAGCTCAGTGGTGCTGTGCCTACCTCGCAACCACAGGGTCCTAAGTTCAATCCCCTGTACAAAAAAAGGGTTCAAACTTGTGCATCCATTTTCCAGAAAATATTTATAATATATCTACTATATTCTCAATACTGTGCCTGGCAGTTGAGGATACAGTTGTTCTGTTTTGTTTTGTTTTGGTTCCGGGTATCAAACTTGGGACCTTCCGCTTTTGAGGCCGGCAGTGGAACTACTGAGCTAAATCCCCGGCCCCAAGGATCCAGTTTTTAAAATCTACCTGTAGAGGGCTGGGGATTTAGTTCAGTGGTTCCAGTGCCTGCCTTGCAAGCGCAAGGTCCCAAGTTTGATCCCCGGTACCAAAACAAACAAAAAACAAAAAAAAACTACCTTTAGAATTAAGCATATTCTATAGTAAATTAGTATACATGTTTATCGCTGCCTGCATTGTCATCCATATGGAGCAAATCAAAACTCTGATGCGGTGATCCTGGCATTTATATCATCCCCTAATTATAGAACAGTTTTGTATACCTACTCATCAGAAATTCCTAGATTAAAAGTTCATCTGGATCTTACCTCAGTAATTTTTTTTTTTGGGTATCAGGAATTGAACTCAGGACCTCACACTTGCCAGGCAGGCACTGTGCCGCTGAACTAAATGCCCAGCCCTACCTCAGTAATTTTAATTGCTCCCTAACTGGTTTGATGACTCTGCAGTCTGTCTTCGGAACCACTGCTGTTCTAAAGCAATTTAAATCCCATCACTTCAGAAACCTATGACTTCTTGCCTTCCACGGTCACCTCCAGCCTCACCTCTATGTGTGTCCTCACATCACACTCGCCTCTGTAACTCCACACGTACCCTGCATGTTCCTTTCACATGCCCTGTGTCTTTGTATATGTTTTCCCCCAACTGCAGAAGCCTTCAGAATACCTACCTTTTCTTTATTTATCTATAGAAATCCTATTCATTGTTCAATATTCAGTGTAGTTGGTTACAAAATATTTAAATTAATTTCATTTGGCTTTGTGATATCTGTTTCATCCCACTGGATTCCAAACTTAGAATGGGCTTTATATGTGTATTCTTGATAAACATGTGAAAGGGGAGATCCAGTTGATCTAATTAGCCATAAAACATTGCTGAACTTTTGGAACTAGAATTGTATAGCTCATTGTTACACGCTTACCACGCACAATACCCTGAGTTTAATCCCTAGCACCAAAAACAAACAAAAAACATTGTTGAACCCAGAAATTATATTCCCAAACATAAATGCACCGGGCTATAATAATTATCATGACTGCTTTGAGAGAAAAAAATCACAGGGAAGTTCAGCTTTAGACTGGACCATAAAGATCTTGTTAGAGAAGTCAGGGTATAAGGAATGGTAAACCCACTCCAGGGCCTGGGGAAAGGTATAGAAGGGAGGCAGGAGAAGGGTACATAGGCTTCAATCATTAGAGCCAGTTGTGCTGGAAAGGTATCAGAGAGATCCCAGGAGAGGGTCACAGTTCATTTCATTTCTGAAAGAGGCAAGGTGACTTGCTCCATGTTATGTAGCCATAGGAAGAATCTAGTTGCAGCATGTGGTTATTTAAAGACTCTATGTATAACAGACTGACAAAATGAAATTAGCCCGATTTTTAGAACTGTTCAGAAATATCAGATATAAAATGTAGTATGTATATCTCCCACTGTATACTTTGGTAATCTGGTTAGTTCAACCATCACTAAACTGAGTTGTTGATCTTACAAGATTGTTCTTATTTTCCTACCAATTTGTAAAATTGAGAATTTTTTTTTTCCTTTTCTTTTTTAGGTTGAATGTAATTCTCGCCTCAGTCCTATAAATACAACTTTGCTAAAGGTAATGTGTCATCTTTCCTCACTGCATCCCACTTGTGAGAAAATTATAATGCTTCAAATTAATGTATATTCTGTGATAGTTGCCCAGAAAGAAGCAAAGCTTCACTGTATGATTCTTTCATTTTCTCTCTTCTTTTTATTTTTTTTTCTGAATATGTTTTCATAGTAAAAAATTGAAATGTCAGAAATGTAAAGGAAAAAATAAAAAATTTTAACCATAATACTATTAACCAAAAGTAACTCTGGTAAAATATTGATGTCTTGCCAGATGTGGTGGCATATACCTATTGTAATCCTAGCAACTTAGTGAGACTCTGTCTCAAAATAAAATTTTAAAAGAGGATCGTGATGTGACTCAGTGATTAAGCACTTTCCTGGCAGGTACAAGGCCCTGGGTTCAATCCCCAGTTTAAAAAAAACCAAAAAAACAAAAGACGTCATTTTCCTATGCTCTTTTTTTTTTTTTTTTTTTTTTTGAGATAGGGTTGCCCAGGATGAGCTCAAACCTGTAATCCTTCTATCTCAGTATCCCAGTGTACTGGGATCACAGGCTTGTACCACCACACTTCCCTGTCCCTCTGATCTTAATGATACTCAAATGTGTAGAAGCCAGGAGTGGTGGCACACACTTGTAATCCTAGCTCTCTGAGAGGCTGAGGCAGAAGGATGGCAAGTTTGACCCCAGCCTGGCACTTAGGAAGACCCTGACTTTCTTAAAATAAAAAATAAAGGGCTGGGATGTAACTCAGTGCAAAGGCGCTGGTTTCATCCCCAAGTAACAGTGGAGGGAAAAAAGAAAGGACAGGGGGCTGGAGATTTAGTTTAGTGGTACTGCGCCTGCCTCCCAAGTGGAAGGTCCTGAGTTCAATCCCCAGTACCAAAAAGAAAAAAAAAGAAAGGACAAGAAAAGCTCAGTGAGAGGGATAGGGCTATAGTTATCATACTTGAGGTCCTGGGGTAGGTTCAGTCCCTAGCACCACAAAAAAAGATCAGAATATTTATAGCCCTTATATCTCTTTTCCTCACATTTATGACATAACCATTTTCTCATGCCTTTAAAAAACTTCAGAAGCAATATTCAGTGTTACTATGAAAATCAAAATAATAGATGGAAATTCTTTACATGCTAAATCCTGCTGTATTAGTAAGGGAGCTTCTAAAAACAGTCTAGTGATAATAGTGGATGCATTTTGTTCTCCTAGGAGACAAGCAGAGAGCAATCCTGTACTAAATTGCTAGGGCTGTTATCAAATTTCCTCCCCTTCCAAGTGTACCCCAGGCAAGAGTTCCAATCTGTGTTGTCTCAGCCTAGCTTTTCCCAGAGTCTCTACTAACATGCTTAGGTAGCTGACCTCCTACTTCCTACCCTGACTACTGTAGATTTAAATACTGATCTTTTCTTGCTTTTTGCTTCTTTCAGTCTGAAAGACTTTTCCTTCTTCCCTTTTCTCTTTAAAGTGTGCTTGTAGGGTGGCCTTGTCACCAAAACCAGCCCATACTTTCTAGAAATACACTGTGAGGTTAATGCTATATGAGGTGACCAAACTGCAAGTGTTCTGGGCTCCAGATGATTGATGGGCTGTTTAAAATGTGAATAAAAATGTGCTTTCAGCTTTTCACTACATAGATGGGGTTATTTCTGGCCAAACAATATGGAACAGAGTAGATAGCTTCTATGACTGATTGAATTTATTCTCAAACTATTTGATAGGTAGCAGTCTTAGAAATAGTTTCTCCCAGTATTTCTCATATGGGAACTGTTTTGTGATTCTAGACAGGTTTCAACAAAAATATGGCCTCTGTACCATTTTGGTCTATTTGTATTTGTCAGGCCGGATGTTTGTTTTTCCTCTTTAGAATTTTCAGGAGATTGTTTTTTTTCAATCTAAAACTCTTATGCCTTCTGTAGCATTCCCTTTTCCTAAATAACAGTCCCCATTCAAAGAAAATCTTAATGCCAGTGAATTGAACTATGGGATTCATGCCCTTTTTGTAAAATTCCAGTGAGATGCCAGGTGTGATGGCACACACCTGTAATCCCAGCATTTGGGAGGCTGAGGCAGGAGGATCGATGTGAGGTCAAAGCTAGCCTGGGCTACATAGTGAGTTCAAGGTCAGCCTAGACTATATAGCAAGACCTAGTCTCAAAAAAACAAAAGTTAGGGCTGGGGATTTAGTTCAGTAGCGCCACGCCTGCCTAGCAAACACAAAGTCCTGAGGTCGATCCCTGGTGGTGGTGGTGGGGGGGGGTTGTTAAAATGTCATTTTGCCCAATGTGGTGATGCACACGTGCAATCACAGCTACTTGGGAAACAGGCAGGAGATGACTAGCTTGTACAACTTAGTACAGCTTGAGAGCCTATCTCAAAAGTAAAAAGGGCTGGCAGGTAGAAGTTAGTGGTAGTTTTCTTACACAGCATGCAAGAAGCCTGGGGTTCAGATGCACATTGAGGCCATACTCTTAAGTGAAATAAATAGGACAGGGCCGGGGATTTAGCTCAGTGGTTCCACCGCCTGCCTTGCAAGCAGAAGGACCTGAGTTCAATCCCCAGTACCAATAAATAAATAAATAAATAAACAAACAAACAAACAAATAAATAAATAAATGGGACACACATGTGTAAACACTGAATAGTTTCTCTGATGTGAAAAACTGAAAGTGTAAATAAAGATCAAAATGCATATGATATTGTGAAATAGGAAGAAAAGGTCTAAAGGAGTAGGGGAAGTGGGAGGGGTAGGGGAAAAAAAAGAAAGGAAAAGAAAAAATACAGAAAAGGAAAAAATGGAAACAAAGTTTTTGTAAATAGGGAGGGGTGGAGGGGGTGAAGGGAGGCCAGGGGAATGGGGAAAAAATAAGAACCAAGATACATCATGTAAAGGCACAAGATCCCAATGATGATTGTAACTGTATTGAATACCTAAAATGTACCAATAAACTTAATGGGAAAAAAAAGAAGCCTGGGGTTCAATCTCCAGCACTACAAAAAGAAAAGAAAAGAGCCAGCCTATAGCACACTCTTAGCTCAGAGTGTGTAACAGCTGAAAGGAAGAGGTTGGGCTCCTAGGTGGACATCATCCCCTAGAAACAGTGCAGTCTGCACACTGGCAGACTCTGTATCTCTAAAATCTTATTTAAAGTGCAAGTTCCTAGCTGGCCATTGTGGTGCATGCCTATAATCCCAGCACTCTGGGAGGCTAGGACAGGAGGGTCACAAGTTTGAGCCAAGGCTGGGCAGCTTAGCAAGATCTTGCCTCAAAATTTAAGAAAGAGACATCATGTAAAGGCACAAGATCCCAATGATGAATGTAACTGTATTGTATACCTAAAATGTACCAATAAACTAAATGTAAAAGAAAAATGTAAGAGAGAGGTTAGCTAGCTGAGGATATACCTCAGTGTGAAGGCCTGGGTTTAATCCCTAGTCTGCCAAAAAACAAAAAAACAGGGAGAAGGGAGGGAGAGAAATTCAAGTTCCTGAACCTTGCTTCAGAGCTATTCAGTCAGAATCTCCAGGGCAAGAACTCAAGTTAGTTTGTTTGATTGTTTGGGATCACTGAGGATCAAACCTAGTGCCTCATACATCCTTTGCAAACAGTTCACCACTGAGCTATCTGCCCCACCTCAAGAACCCAGGTTTTGTATTTTTATAGTATTGAGGATTGAGTACCAGAGTTTTCATACTGAGCTACATCCCCAGCCCTTTTTATTTTTTTAGTTTTGAAACAAGATCTTACTAAGTTGCCCAGGCTGGGCCTAAACTTAGAATCCTTCTGCTTTGACCTGGCTAAGAATCTGAGTTTTATTTCCAGTGGACACCCTGTGAAGCTGTCAGAATAACCAGTGTGCACCAATCGCAGTGGTGCATGCCTGTTAGCTCAGCTGAGGAGGCTGAGACAGGAGAATCATAAGTTTGAGGCCAGACTGAGCAACTTAGCAAGACATGGTCTTGAAATGGATAGGACAGAATAGGACCAGGACCAGGACCAAACAGGCTTGGGGTGTAGCTCAGTGGTAGAGTGCTTTCCCAGCATGTGCAAGGCCCCGTGTTCTGTCCCTAGCACCTCAAAAAACAAAAACAGTGTAAAGGCTTATGAGGAAGAAAACAGCCCCACCAAATCAAAGAGGCTAGTAGCTGATCAAACGAGTTGGGAGAATTCAGCATCAGCTCCTGATTCATCTTGGAATAAGGACAATGTAGAGTTGAAAGGGAATTTAGAAACCATGAAGCAATGAGAAGTAATACTGTTTGATAACTATGAAAGTAATATTCTTCAGGTGGAGGCAGAGCCAAAGTTGAAAGTAGTGACTGACTTCACTTTTACCCCAATAGAAAATAGGACATCTTATGGGTGAATAAGTGCTGAATAATAATTTCAGATTTCTATCCAAGATTATTGTCAGCATCTAAGTCTTTACACAGAGTGCACTGAGGAAATGTAAACTTGGATGTTGTTAAATCTTAAGGAACCTAATAATCCTGTCCCATTTGGGATAATCAGAGCATTTCCCTTAAGGATAAGTTTTGGCTGACTGACATATTTTTCCTCTTCTAGATGGCAGACTGTGGGGGACTACCCCAAGTAGTTCAGGTAAGCAGTTTTTAAAAAAATCATTCAGTTCTATCTCTTTGCCTGTCCAAAAGATTAATGCCTTCTTATTTTATTCCCCCAGCCTGGGAAGCTCACCGAGGCCTTCAAGTACTTTTTGCAGGGAATGGGCTACAGTGAGTAGTGCACAACTTTTTGTCTGACAAAACATTTTGTGTATAAGGGGATCAGTATAATGGGAGCAGTTTGACATTGAGTGGCCACAACTCTCAGGGCCTAACCTCTGTGCTAGCCAGCCTTAAGTAGAAAGCCAAATGTTTGTGGAACATTCATTTTTGCATATATATAAGACAAGCTAGGGCCCAGGGTTTAGCTCAGTGGTTCCACCACCTGCCTCACAAGTGCAAGGTCCCAAGTTCAATCCCCGGTACCAGAAAAAAAAAAAGAAAGTAAGACTAATAAGACAAGCTAACAGTTCTTTCTTTCTTTTTTTTGGTACTGGGGATCAAACTCGGGTCCTTCTGCTTTCGAGGCAGGCGACAGAACCACTGAGCTAAATCCCCAGCCCCCAAGCTAACACTTCTTAAGCACTTATCTTGTGTCAGGCACTATGTATTCTTAAACTTAAGCGGTAAGTTCTGTTATCAGTCCCAATATGTAAAAAAGGAACCTGCGCCTCAAAGAAGCTATGCACATTTCCCAGAATAACAAGCTGCAGAGCTATGGTTCAGACCTTGACACTCTGGCTCCAGAGTGCACATTTTTAACCATTGAAGCTTCTGCTGTCTACCCATGTATTGGAAGTTATTATTTGAATTCCAGCTCATTATGGAGACTACAGAAGAAAAGGGTGGTGTTCTTAGTAAAATCTGTTTGCCACAGTAGTTGAACTTGCAGAGTATTTCATAGCAAGTCCAAGGATATGTCCATATTGTCTGCCATTGTCCTGGTCTCGTGTATTGTGAGACCCCTGAGCTTTCTCGTTTGTCATAGAAATCCCTCACTTGCTCCATTCTTGGAGTTTTAAGAAGAAAATCCTCTTCACCCAGGTACAGAGCTCTTTACCCAACAGGGTGATTTTCCTGTCTTTGGAATCAGAGTGGATGATGGCCATTGATAAGCTGACTGGACAGCTTCCCTGTCCAGCTGGGCCCTGGGTACAGCCCTGTACCTGCCAGGCAGACCATGTGTCTCTTGTCTAGAGTGGCTTTGTTGTCCCATCTGAAAGCCACTACCAACCGAGCCCACAGCCACAGCCTTCTAGCTCACTGGGAGGAGCAGAAGTCCCTTATAGCCTGTTCTCAGCCCTTTTCTATGAAACAACTGATCATCTTGCAACCTGTTTCTGATCCAAAGCAAGGTAACTGTTCAGAGTGGAGGGGAAAACAGTTGTCTTTGTCTACATGAGAAAAGTGACATTCAGGATGATACTAAAGCCTCAGCCTTACCACCTCTTAGGGACCTTAAAATAAGCTTTCATCCCTCGCTTAGGAGTATTCTGTCCGTGTCTACTAGGCAGCCAAGGTTGCCACTTGGCACTCTTGGATCACTAACCTGCCTTCTCCTGTGTCCATCCTGCTTCCAGTCCCGTATGTGCAGCTCAGTCACCTCAGCACCGAGTCAGGTACTTTCCTCTGTGCTGGCCCCACCCGCCTCCCAGCCATGCTCTCCTGGCTGCATTGGCTGTCTGCAGCATGTCCGCGGTTTTCTTGTGCAGTGAGAGCCTGATAGAATGTGGCTCATTATGCTCCAAAAAGTTTAGCCCACAGTTCCAGCTCTGGTTCCCCAGGAGAAAGAAGGGACCAGGTTGTAATACTTAGGCCTCCTCCCATCATCCTCAGTCCAGGCTCATGGCATCAGCTGAACCTTGAGAGACAGGGTCCCTCTTCCACCACCACCTACTATCCTGATCCTTGAGATAACCCTGACATGGGAATCAAAGGGTAGCCTTGACTGTGAGCAGAAATGTTAGCCTGAAGAACTCTGGAGTAGTGGCTGGAACCTCAAGATAGGCAGGGAGGTTATGCCGGGTAAGGCACAGTCCTAGCCGAGCTGGGAAGCTCTTAGGACCGAACTAGTGGAAGAACCAGGAGTCTGGGTTAAATACTACCAGAGCTTTTACCTTCCAGGTAACCCATGCCAGGTAACCCCCAGTGTAGAGAACAGCTTTAAGCCTACCTGTCTTCCCCTCCACCTGTATCTTCCTACTCCTCCCCAGACAGCACAGCAAGTGTACCCTGTGGACCCGGATGGTAGTCTTGTTGTATCGGGCTTGCACTGTGTTTGTGAAACATCTTCATACTTGTGTGTTTTCTCTTTCGTTTGTTTTAGTTCTGCATGCACTGCAGATTCTGGTTACCTATATGGGTTCCAAAGCCTCCTTCCTAATCACTGTATGAATGGTGTGGGCACAGCTAAAGAGGCCGTACTCCGGACTCAGGGCTTCCCCTTGTGCTGTAGAGTAGAATCAGCTGAGATTCCAACCATTCCTAGAGGATTAAAACAAACTTGCATATAGTCACTCACCTAGAGCAAATATTGCAAAATGGGGATGGCTGTGTCTTGTCCTGGGTGTTATCTTAAGTGGTTTGGGAAGTCCAAACATAAAGCTTTTGGTAAACATGTAGATTCGTTGAGTTTGACCAAGCTTCATCTTCTAGTGCTCTTGGTTCTTTGTTACAGTACCATCTGCTGGCATGACCCGGCTCGCCCGATCACGAACCCACTCAACCTCAAGTAGCATCGGCTCTGGAGAAAGTCCCTTCAGCCGGTCTGTCACCAGCAATCATTCAGATGGAACTCAAGAATCCTGTGAGTCCCCTGATGCCCTGGACAGACATCAGACCGTGGAGTTGTCCTGCTAAGCAGATGCTCCTCCCCGGACCATGCAAATCCATCCTTCTTTAGACCACCACTCCATACCACATTTCATCTGTAAACTGGCCTCCACTATCTTTAACTCATGCATGGCCACTAAACCTTTCTCTAGTAGCCTGGATTTATCATTCTCTGCCCACTCACCCCTTTTTTGTGTGTACCAAGAACCACATCCGTGCCATTACTGTAACATTCCAACATCTTTAACTGATCTGATTTCCATATCTTCTCTTGCCAGCTTTTTTCTGTGCTCCCTCAACTATGTATCTGATCCGATTCTTTGATCCCCGACTCTGTGTGTGCAAGCACATGTATCCATGTTTGTGTGTGCATAGTTCTGTGATTTTAGACATGCTTTCTTGTAGTGCTTCTGCAAAAAAAAAAAAAAGGGACTTTTTTTTTTTTTGCATTCTCAATGGTGTTTTTTAAGGGAAAGCTACAAAACAGATACCTAGATGAGCTAGGCCACTAGATTCTCTTTTTGTTCCAAATTGGTCAACAAGATTTGCAGAATGATTTCTAGAGAGAGCAACTCTGAGCAATGTGGAAAACTGTAATTACTGTTTGGACTATTGATTGATTCTGACCAGTAGCAAAAGGGTTGTCTTTTACATAGAGAGGTAGGCAAGGAGGCCAGCTACCTCCTTCTTTCCAAATGGCTTCACATAGCCTATTCTACGAATAAAAGGGAAGAAATACATCCTGCTGGAAGCTTGTGAACGATGAGGTTCTGACACAACATGAAGTTTTCTCTGAAGGAGTGGCTCTATTTCTAGACTGTCTTAGCATAGGGAGTAGAAAACAAAATGTCAGGCCTTCACCCACAGAGCAAAACTGCTGTCACTACCATCTGATTACCATTTTCCAGACATGCACCCATCTGCAAGAAGAGCCTCTCCACTGTGTGATAGAGAGTGGTTCTCCATCCCTTGATCCCAAAACAAGGGACTGGTGTAACCTAAAAACCATATCAGTGGTGAGGATATGTATGGGAGGAGAGGAACAACCATTGACAATATCATGTTGAGTAACTACAGCCTTGATTTTAGCAGACTTAATAGAAGCTAAATTAAATAGAAGCAGAACCCATTTCTGAGAAAGATTCTTAATTCTATAAACTCTGGCTTGTAAGAGGGAAGGAGCCAATTTGTAAGGGCAGCCTGTACAGGTAAAATTATTTTCTGCTCTCTGCCTGCTGTAAGTGAGGGGATCCCAGCCAGCCAGAGAGCACCACTGGGAAGAGGAAAAAAGAACCCTGGAGACAGCTGCCACACAGCTGGAGCCCAGCTCTTGGGAACATTTAGCTATAAGCTCAGGGTTACACCGTTCCGAATCTTGGGAGAAGACTTTTCAGACACATTGTTTTGCTTTCTGCTAAGATAAGGAATGCGTCACTCTGTCAGAGTATGACTTTTTACAAATTATTAAATAAAGCTGTATATGTCTCATTGTTACTTGATGGCTGGTGTTATTTCTCTCAAGCCACTTACTGGAGTTGAAGCAAGGACTGAGTTACTCTATGCTAGTTCTCTGCCATGTATTTTTATATTTGTGATCACCAATCCCACCCAAAGACACTGTGTATTTATAAGGACAAAGTGATACTTCAGGATCATTTGCCCAAAATCATACAGCCATTGAGTTCAGACTGATCATGGTCGATCTGACATTCCCATGTTCCCCGCCAATCAAAAATCATGCAAAGCTGGGCATAGTGGCACACATCTGTAATCCCAAGCATTCTAGGAGTGTGAGGTGGGAGGATCTCCAGTTAGAACCCAGCCTGAGCAACTTAGAGACTTAGGAAGACCCTATCTCAAATTTAAAAAGGTTGGGAATGTAGCTCAGTGTAAAGACCCTCAGTTCAGCTGCCCGGTTTAAAAATTTTTTTCTTTAAAAATGAATCATATGAGGGTTCAGGGATTTAGCTCAGTGGTTCCACCGCCTGCCTCACAAGCACAAGGTTCCAAGTTCGATCCCTCGTACTAAAAAAAAAAAAAAAAAAGTGAATCATATAAAAAAAATGAATCAGGGCTGGGGATTTAGCTCAGTGGTTTCGCCGCCTGCTGCGCAAGCGCAAGGACCAGAGTTCGATCCTTGGTACCAAAAACACAAACAAAAAAATGAATCATATGAAACCTGACAGCACTGTTGATGAAAGAGAAGAAGCTGAGTTTTATGAATGGTGTTCCACATCTCAGCTTTGCCATCTTATGTAGAATTGCTGATTCCTGCCTGCCATGTAATAACCTGAAGTCACTTTACTGGGTTCCTCCCAGTGGCTATATTTGTACCCATCAAGAATAATTTGAAGAAGCTATCATCTCCGATCAGTCTTGAATGATTCAGGGGTACTGCTACCATAAGTGGAGAAATGAGATGGGAAGAATGAGGCCTAATTGGCCTCCTCGGCAAGCACTGAGAAGAAAGATGACATGCAAGTATGCTAACATGCTACAGGGAGAAGTAAAAACACCTGAGGTTAAGTTGTTTTCTCAGAGAAGAACTGGAAGGTGGGAGACAAATGAATCCTGTGAAAGTAATTGCTTGTGCCCACGTCTGAATGAATAAAGCCAAAGTGCACCAGTCATTTGGGGCTCTGTGTCAAAGGGAGACATGAGACCCCTGGCCCCCCAGATTTTAACCTGTTTCTGTGTCTTTATTTTTCATCCTCTTCACCCCCTGGTCAGGTTCGAGCTTGGCTCATAGCCTGGTTCCTACACATAAGTACATCTAGGTTGCTGTGTCCCTGGGAGGTTCTCATGAAAAACGTGACCCTGCCTGTTCTGGTAGCAGACATGAAATAAAAGCATGAACAGACAAAGTTACCATGCTGAGTGCCTAATACACAGTGCCGAACCTGGAGTTGATAGGATGGCTCTGGTTGCTCTTCAGACTTACAGGGTTTGCCAGCATACTTGGCCATACCCACCTGCTTTCCCACCTTTGCCTGTGTCTGGAGATAGTCCTCAACTGCCTATACTGACTGGTCCTTACCTCTTTCCTCTTCTGACTTACATTTCCTTTTTTCCCCATTCAGTACTCCACTCCCCAAAAAAGTGGCTGCTTTGTGAGAGGTAAGGAGCTAGACTTAAGCCGGACGTGGTGGCACATGCTGGTAATAGCCAGCGCTCGAGAGGCTGAGGCAGGAAGATCACCATGAGTTTAAGGCCAGCCTGAACTACACAGTGAGACCTTGTCTCAGAAAAAAGAAGGGGCCAGGGATTTAGCTCAGTGGTTTTGCCGCCTGCTATGCAAGCGTAAGGACCCGAGTTCGGTCCTTGGTACCAAAAAAAAAAAAAGGTAAACTACACAGATGATTGTATAAAGCTTTTGTTTAACACACAAAGAACAAGTTGGGAAGTTTGCATGATTTGGGTTTGGTTTGGGTTTTTTTGGTTTTTGAGGGGTTTTTTTTGTACCAGGGATTGAACTCGGGTCATTGCACTTGCGCAGCAGGCGGCGAAACCACTGAGCTAAATCCCCGCCCCCGGTTTGGTTTTTTAAAACAAGGTCTTGCTCTGTAATCAGGCTGTCCTTGAACTCATGGCAATCCTCCTACCTCAGCATCCCATAGTGCTAGGACTATAGGTGTACACCACGCCCTGTTTAGGAAATTTGAATGATTTAACACTTCATCTATCTTGTCAAAGTTGTTTGCACTTCTTTGCAAAGCAGTCCTTAGCCGGGCATGGTGGCACATGCCTGTGATCCCAACACTTGGGAGAGTGAGGCAGTAGGATCGCTGTGAGTTTGAAGCCAACCTGAGCTACATAGTGAGTTCAGGGTCATCCTGAACTACATAGCAAGACCCAGTCTCAAAAAAGGTGCATTTTTATATTTTATTCATCTTTTTGTTGAATGCCTACCACAGGCCAGAGCCTTAGCACCTTTCTATAAGTCTTATATTGACCCATTGTAATAAGTATTATTCCCATTTTATGTATGCAAAAAAAAGGGCCCAGAGTTAGTTTACAAGTGGTCATAAAGCTAGTAATTGGCTATAGGGGAAACAGTTTCATCTACTACACTCAACACTTCTGTGAGCAAATGTGTGGAGTGTTCCCCCATACCAACCAACTTTCTAACACAATGCAGCTAAGTGTCCTACTGTAATTCAGTTATGACATTAGCAGGAATTAGTGCAGACCCCACAGGCTAAAAGACCCGTTCAACAAGACTGGCCCCACACGTACTTCAGACAACAGTGGAAAGTAGTAGATCCCCAGGTTACCCACACTTCTGTCCAATTCTGTCAAATTGGGGGTTCCCAGGGCCAGGAATTTAGCACAGTGGTTCTGCCGCCTGCCTCACAAGCAGAAGGACCCAAGTTTGATCCCCGGTACAAAAGAAAAAAAATTGGGGGTTCCCACAACCTAATGCTTAGGTGCAGTAATTTGCTGTCGTGGCTTAAGAGCTCTGAAACACATGTACTAGTTTTTTACAAAGACTGTAGATGGACAGCTAGAAAAAGAGGTACATACAGTGAGCTCTGGAAAGGTTCCAAGCACAGGAGCTGCTGTCCTCATGGAGGTGGAGTGCACCACCCTCTCAGCACATGAATGTGTTCAGTCTGAAACTTTCTGAACCCTATTTGTTCGGGATTCCTATGGAGGTTTCATCACCTAGCCATGACTGATTATATTTATCAGTCTCTAGTTCTTCCTCTCACCCTGGGGGATGGGGCTGAAAGTTCCAAGCTTTTCATCATGACTCGGTCTTTCTGGTGGCCAGCCTCCACCCAAGAGCCCACTGAGAATTATTACCTCATTAGAACAGACATTCCTGTCACCCAGGAGATACCAACAGATTTAGGAACTCTTTCAGGAACTGGATCAAAGACCAAATATTAGAACAAAATATGCTTCTGGCACCCCTGTTGGTTAGAAAATCACAAGTTTTAGGAGCTCTGGCCTGGAGCCAAGGAGGAAGTTTGTTTTTCTTGTATGGTACTGGTGATACTCCCAGCCCCTCCCTTTTTTTTGGTAGCAGGGATCAAACTCAGGACCTTTCACTTGTGAGGCAGGCATGGTGCCACTGAGCCACATCCCCAGCCCCCTTATTTTTTTTTTATTTTCAGACGGTATCACTAACTTGCCCAGGCTGGGCTCAAACTTGTGATCCTCAGCTGCCCCAAATGTCAAATATATATCACAGTGTAGGATTTTAGACTAATTCTTAGGTGCCTCCTCAAGTGGAGAAGAAGAGAGATATAGTAGGATTCTTTTTTTTTTCTCCCTGAAGATTGAACCTAGGCCCTTGAGCATAAGTCCATGTCCTACCACTGAATTACACCCCAGGCCCTATTATAAAATTATTTCAAGAGCAACCAGGCAAGGTGATATGTGCCTGTAATCCCAGCACTCAGGAGGCTGAGGCAGGAGAATAACCATGAGTTCGAGGCCAGTCTGAACTATATAGCAAGACCTTGTCTCACAAAAAAAATTAAAAAGTTAAGAAATGGAAGTTTTTTTGTTTTTGTTTTGGGGGGTTTTTTTTTTTGGTGTTTTGAGGCAAGGTCTCCCTTTGTAGTTCAGGCTGGCCCTGAAATCACTCTATAACCCAGACTGGCCTCGAACTCACAGTGATCCTCCTGCCTCAGCCTCCCAAGTGCTGGGATTACAGGCATGTGCCACCACACCTGGCTAGAAATGGAGAATTTTGAGCCCCACTCCAGACCTACTGTATCACAATCTGTAGTTTAACAAGATCCCAGGAAGTTCCTATGCAAGAAGGCTATGCCTGGGCCGGGGATTTAGCTCAGTAGTTTTGCTGCCTGCTGCACAAGCGCAAGGACCCGAGTTCAATCCCTGGTACCAAAAAAAAAAAAAAAGAAGGCTATGCCTGGGCCAGGGATTTAACTCAGTGGTTCTGCCACCTGCCTCCCAAGCACAAGGTCCCAAGTTAGATCCCTGGTACAAAAAAAAGAGAAGGCTATGCTTCCCAAACATGCCAAGGGAGTCTCCGAGTTTAGATTGCTAGGCTTCCTCTAGCAATTTAGATTCAGAAGGTGTCCGAAGACTCTAGAAATTGCTAAAATTTAATCTCTGGGCCAGGCATGGTGGTGCGTGCCTGTAATCCCACTTGGGAGGCTGAGGCAGAAGGAGGTTCGACACCAGCCTGAGCTACTAGTGACTTCAAGGCCAACCTGAATTATGTAGTGAGACCCTATCTCAAAAGCAAAACAAAAACATCTCTCCAGTGATTACTATGGTTAGGTCCACAAAGGCAACTCCTGTTCATATCCCTTCATTGTGTTCCTGGGATCAGACCAAGCCACAAAAACCAGAACCACCTCCTCCAGGATCAGGATGAGATAGCAGCTGCTGCTCTCAGAAACAGGAACTTGGGCAAGGTGGCTCCTCATCCTTTGTGATGCCTTCAGAGGAAGTGGGTGGTTGTGAGAACCACAGGGTCTGCAGATGAAGCCAGTGCTCCAAGGACCTACACCTGTGTCTCTGACACAGCTCAGAGCCCTGGACCTTCCTCCCTGGCTGGCTGTTCTGGGGAGGCCGCCAAGTCTGAGATCACTAAGGAGCACTGAGCTTTTGCCCCAACCCCAGTGTACTGCTGACCACGGACAGATGCTGAGCTTCCCAAGCCCACTCCAAGAGCCTCTCTGAAGATCCTCCAGAAGCCGCTAACATGTCCAGCTGAAGCATGCGTTTTAGCAGAGTGTCCTCCCCAAGCCTCTGATGACAAGAAACCAGTAAGTACACTTGCTTCTATTTCCTGAGGAACTTGGGATGGTGAGTAGTCCCCTCCAAGGCTGGGTGTGGGCTTTATTTACAGGTTGTAGTATCATCTCTGATGACACTGTCAGCTGAGGTCTATAGTTCTAAAGGGTGAGATTCTCGGGCGAAAGAGGGAAAGGTGGCTGAAAGTGTTGCACAGTGGGGCTGTGGCTCCAATAAATAAATAGAGAGACCTCCTTTTAGCTCAAATCTTACCCCAAACACTAGAAGTGATCTTCAGAAACAAACAAAAAAGAGCAGGTGGTAGTCCCTGCTCTGCACTAACAACCAGCTGTCAGAGCTGCCCTTGGGGCCCTGGGACGTTGCCTCTGAAATGGGATTGAACTGAGATAGAAAAAAAGTCGAACCTGACACAGGGCACAAGCATATAATCCCAGCTACTGAGGAGGCTGAGATGAGAGGATTGCAAATTCTAGGCCAGCTTGGGCTACATAGTGAGACCCTGTCTCAAAATAAAAACAGGGCTGGGAATGTTGCTCAGTGGTAGAGCCCCAGGACCACAAAAAGGGAAAAAAATATCATTCTGGGTGGTGTGCTGATCTCAGCTGCCTTTTACTAACACTTTCCTACCACTCACTTGTCTGAGTCCCCTGAAAAGTGCCTAGCACAGAGTAAATTGTTCAAATATGTGGTTAATGATCAGATTTTCTTATAAACGTTGCAGCCTTGCAGCTGCCTGACCTTCATGTTGCCCCACAGGCTTCCTGGCCTTCACCTTACCAGGTGGAGAAAGCTCCCGAGTCCTTGCACCTCCCCTTTCTCCCTGGCCCAGGGCCCAGCTCCAAGCTCCACCTGCATCCCTGAGTTTGTTGCAGTTGATGACTGTGGTCTTGCCAAAGGAGGAGAAAGGAAACAGCTTACTGACACCTGCTCCGTATCATGCTTCTCGAATTCTCCCCACAACCCTGTGAAGTCAGTAGTGTGATTCCCAGTTCACAGTCCAGACTCAGAAAGTTCACAGACTTTGCCAGAGGTTGGGCTGGACTAATCACCCGTGTTCCCGAAGGCAGATGCAAAGTGAAGTGTTTATTCTGTACCTCATACACAAGGAAAGGCTGGGGCACTGCAGACTATTGACAACCTGAGCTGAAGGGTACCCCAGCAGTGAGGGAACAGAGCCCTCAAGAGCAGCAGCACTGGCTCACAAACCAAGGCTGCCAGGTCCCAAAGGGCTGCGCTAGAAGTGGCTGTCAAGAACCATTTTTTGAATGACAGGCACATTTCATGTTAAAGAGCCCCTGTCCCTGTAAATTTTGAACTCCCCATGGAAAGGCAACAGCAAGCAAGTCTTGTTCTTCCCAGTGATGACACGAGGCTAGAGAACAGAGAGGGCAGGGGCCTGGCAGAGAGAGAGGGTGGCCCAGCCTCCAGGAGGCCCAGAAAGTTATCTCATGAAACTAATGGATGTGGCATGTGTCACCCAGGCAGTGTGGGGCTCAAAGGCAAGGAAGGAGTCACTGTGCCACCACACTGTTCTGAGTTCTCCCCAATCCCAGCCCAGCCTTTGGCAGGTGCCTGGCACAGAGCAGAACTCCATAAACACCAGCAAATGGAACCTCATTGAAAAGAATAAAGCCATCTGAGAAGTACAGAACTCAGCCTCCCACACCCTCAACACTTTGATAGAGTGTTTGAAAAAAACAACATCATTTAGAAACCCGGGGCTTTAGATTATCCTGCAGACAGCACCTCCTGTGAAAGAGCTAATGATCTCCTGTCCATTTGTTATTTACTGAGTGTGAGGGCCTTCTATGGGGCTTTACTAATGCCAAAGAAAAGGCTGCTGGACCCTGGGATAATGGTAGATTAAGCAAGCATTGGAATAAATGAATACATAATTAACATGGGAAGGAATGCAACAAGGAGTAAGAAAGGGGAGGCTCCTGGAGAGTTAATGAGAAGAGACATTCAGGGCAAGAGAAAGGAAATGTGGGCCCAGGCAGGAAGCCTTTTCAGGGCATTTCCTCCAAGATATGTATTGGGGAAAAGAGGCACCAAGAGGGGATCTGACCCAACGGCCAGGCCGCCAGATCCTTGCAAGTCATTAGTATGTCCTGCAGCCTCCTGCCAATCTCACTCTGCCCCGTGACAACAATACCTATGTTCCAGGTCAGCTCTGCTGGTTGTGACAACAGTCCCAAGCCTCCTCCCCTCCCTCTTCTCCACCTCTGACCCTAGGTGTGTCTGGACTGAGCTTCTCTCCTAGTGTGGTCCCCTGCTACCCAGGGGAGAAACAAAGCCCCAGAGGGTAGGGAGATAGGGGAAGTAAAAAGAATTAAGATGTATTATATACACTTACCAACTCCGCATGATGAGTGTAATCATTATTTACTGCAAACATATACTAATAAAAATTTAAAATTTTAAATAAAATAGAACAAAGACTGGGCCGGGGATTTAGCTCAGTGGTTCTGCCACCTGCCTTGAAAGTGCAAGGGTCCCAAGTTCAATCCCCAGTACCAAAAAAACCCAAAAAAAGACCTCAGGCCAGAGAAATGATTCCAAGTGGGCCACAGGAATTCAAGGGAGGACAGCAAAGACAGAAGGTTCAAGGAAAACTTCCTGGGGTAAGGTGGGATCTAGGCAGACCAGCCCAGGAGCCTGAGAGGGTACCCAGGCAGACCCAGAGCAACATAGGAAAGATGGGATGCTGTGGCACATGCCTATAATCCCAGCAGCTCGAAAGGCCAAGACAGGAGGATCACAAATTTGAACCCAGCCTGAGCTGCATAGTGAGATCCTGTCTCAAAATAAAAAGGGCTGGGGATGTTGCTCAGTGCAAAGGCCATGGGTTCAATCCCCTATACCAGAGGGATAAAAAAGGAAGAAGACAATCCCCAGTCCCCAGTACCAAAGAAAAAAAAAAGGATGAAGAGAAAACAGTGTCAGTGTCCATTAACAGAAGCCTGGTCCTAAGAGGTCAGTCCCCTGTGTCCTTGAGGTGATCAGCAGGGCCAAGCTGAAGAGTAACAGGTGTCTGGGACCAGGCTGGAAAGCACGGGCTCTGTCCTCATGGCAGCAACTCTTTCAGATTCCCCTCAGCAATGTGCTTCTGAGAGCTCAGCTGAGGAGCAATGGGAAGTCTGCCCAGCAGAAGGAAAACCCTGCCAAGCCCAAGCGTGATCCCCTGTGTCCAAGCCCAGGGACCTGAGCCCTTGCAAGCAGGTAGGTCCTCCCCAAGAGGCTTCACAGTCCCAGTCTTCACCTCTCCCTGACCAGGTATCAGTGAGTCCCTAAGTATACTAGGCCCTTCCCAGTGAGCCATACAGGCAGGATCCCTGCTGCTGAGGAGTTTATATTAGTAGAAAAATATCAGCCAGACAGACAGATGAGAAAATAGGAGAGGCTAGAGTGGTGGAACACTTTCCTAGTGTGTACAAATCCCCAAGTTCAATCCCCAGCACCACAGAAAACTAAAACAAATCAATAAAACCCCACTTCCTCAATCACACCAACCCTGTTTCAAGTGCTTAGTAGCCACATGTAGCTAGTGGCTATTTTATTGGAAAGCACAGAACTGTAGAACATTTCCACCACTGCAGAAAATTCTCCTGGATTTAAACCAGAGCCCTCTTTTTGTTTTATTTTGGTTTGATTTTTTGACACAGGGTCTCAACATGCTGTCCTCCTGCCTCAGCCTCCTGAGTGCTGGGCTTATAGGTATGCACCACCACACCCAGTTCAGGGCTCTCTTAATGGTGAAAAAAATGCACAGTGCCTATGCTGAGCCTTTAACCATGGTTTTCTAAGATAATCCTAACTAAAATATCCCAGTTTTTAGGACAGTTGGACAGTGGAAATATCCTAGAATTTTTAATATTTTTATGTCAAAACTATGGCTCCTGCTCTATTTCTTGTTCCTCAAAACAGTCCAAAATCAAAAAAAAAAAATCAAAAATCTTTTTTCAATTTACATCTTGATTCAGCATTTGGCTAATGCATTGGGGTTTATCATAGAAACAGTACCAGTAGGGTATGAGGGGAGTCGATTTATTGTCAGAATTGGCTCTTGTGAGTGTGGGGCCTGTTGGTCTGAAGTCTGGCAGCAGGCTGAGTCCCTGGGGGTGAGTCACCACAGTGTGGGTCCAACAGCAGCCTGCAGAAAGAATCCCCTCTTCCTCAAAGTCTCTGTCTCATAAGGCCTTCAACTGATTGGATAAGGCCTCCTGCCTTCCTTCCTCAAGCTACCAATTTAAGAGTTAATCTCATCTGAAAAGATAACTTCACAATATCTAGACTAGTGTTTGACCAAATATTGTCTGAGTACTGTGGCTAAGCCATGATGACCATAACATTATAGACAACAAGATCCCTCCAAGCCAAGCAGCACTTCTAGGAGGAGGACAAGGGCAATTAAACTGGACTACAGATTATGCAGCCAAGATGGCTAGATATATGGGTCTGGGCAGGTGCTGTCCCCAACCAGAATATTCTCCTACAATGGCAGGTCTTCCCTCCTTTTCTCTGCCCAAGCCCCTTATTTCCTTAATACCAGTTTCCCCCAGGACCGTTGGTACCCTGAGCCCTGTTGACACCTGTAGGGGAGGCAGCTGGGATCCTCTTAGCTACCTCATCTACACTGAGAGGCCCCACAGGAAGAGACTGGGAAACCACACAGACCTCCACCTTGGTTTCCTCTGAATCTAGCCACAGCCAGCAGTCCTGAGGCTGCTCTGAGTCATGCCCAGGGCTGCTGAGGGTGGGCCTTCCTGGGCACATCTGCTCTGGCCCGGGAGGAGTAAGAGTTTGGGGCAACTCTGTCTAGGAACCAGCCATCCTTCAGCCTTGCTGCCAGCTTCAGCCTCCAGAGGCTCTACCATGTGCCAGGCCATATGATAGGACCTGGGGACATAGGAGTGGATAAGACAGGCACAGTACCTGCCTTCAGAGATAACCAACAATCAGTGCCAGTTGTGTTAGATTTGGCAGCAGTATGTTCAAAGGGACTCAGAGTATGCAAAGGGGGAAGTCAGGTAGGTGTACCACAAAAGGTGAAGATGACGCAGCCAGGTCAAGTGGGGACCATTCAGGGAGATTTGCCTTGAAGGGTACAAGGCCAAGGCTTTCAGGAGGAAAGGGCACCCTTCAAGGCCTCTTGTTCCACCACTATTGGAAAGTGACATCAGCAAGACTTGAATCATTTATTCAAGCATCAGGCATTTCCCTGTGTGGTGAGCCTTGGACTACAAAAAAGGGTTGGAGAAGGACAGCGCCTGGGCTCTGAGAAGAGCCCCCTGTATGGACATCCAGGCATTTCGTATGTGTGGGAACAGGGTTCTTTTTCTTTCTTTTTTTTTTTTTTTTTTTGGTACTGGGAATTGAACTCAGGTCCTTGTGGTGGCAAAGAAGGTGAAACCACTGAGCTAAATCCCCAGCCCCAGGGTTCTTTTTCTAAATCAGTCTCACTCTTCCCATGTCCATCCGCAGCAGACCCTTCAGCCTCCACCCAATCCCTGAGCTCTTGTCTGTCATCTGCTTCCCCTCCCCAGTGCATGGGTCCCTGCTCCATCTAGAGGGTGTCCCAAGGCCCTCTGGAACCTTGGCTCCTTTGGGAGCCCCTAGGAGACAGATGAACTTTTCTCACTGACCTTGACTGTTGAATTCACGTGTTGACCAGTTTCTCTTTTAGGGACCCTTCTGAAGAGGGTCAGGAGGAAGGACAGAGAGGGTGGAGTGTGGGTGAAGGGGTATGCAGCAGCCACTGAAGGCAGGTTTCAGCCCAGAGGGCCCCATGCACGTAGGGACAACTTGTGGGACTGGGCAGGCTGATCTCTGAGGTGGGTGTGGAGGCAGGTCCTGTGCTGACAGAGCTGCCTGCTGCCTGGCCCAAAATTGGGTCTCACATCACCACATCCTCAGGACTGCTCCCAATCTAAACCTCAGCCTCCCAGGGAGTTGGGGTCCAAAGAGTGCTGCTGCTGCTGCTGCTACCCAGCCTCATCCCCCTGGACCTGTGAGACAGGGTAGTAAGGTTGGGACTTGTGCCCTTACTTCCCCTACTGAGTGCCCAGTCAGGGCCTCAGGACCTCAGTGCCCAGCGGGAGTGACTAGAGACTACCCAGGCCAGTGGTGAGGGCTGAGTAAGATGCATACAGATCCACGCAGGGACTGACATGCAGGTCCTTCAGCGGTGGCAGGATGAAGGCCAAGTACTTGATGGGCCACACCCTGGGGACATCTGCTCTAGGCCAGGATAGAACAAAGGCCTGGTAGCACTTCTTCTTCCAGGGCAGCACTGACCTCCACCCACAGTCCTGGACAGAGGCCATGGGAAAGCCACTCTGGCCCTTGCACAGTACTCTAAGAGTTACAGAGCTCAACCCACCATGATTTCACAGGCCCCTCTAGGAGCCTAGAAAGGAAACCTGGGCTGGGGATTTAGCTCAGTGGTTCTGGTGCCTGCCTCGAAAGCACAAGGTCCTGAGTTTGATCCCCGGTACCAAAAAAAAAGGAAACCCATCATGAGGCATAATGAGAAAACCCAGGCCAGGAGTGAGGGGAGCACATTAGCAGAGAAGGTCATTGTCAGCCTCCAGAGTCTTCCTCTCCTGTCCCAACAGCACATGCTTAGGTGGCATTTCCCGGGCCCACCCCAGGGCCTCCATATCACAAGGTCCCAGGGCCTCCATATCACAAGGTCCCAGGCCCAGCTGTTAGCCTTCTGGAGCTTTCTTCTCCAGCCTTCTGAGCTAGTCCAAACCCATTAACACTCAGGAACTTGAGTTCAGGTCCAAACTGATCCCTGCTCAGAGGTGGAGGATTTTTGCTTTTGTTTATGTTGCTAAAGATTGAACTCAGGGCCCTCCAAATGCTAGGCAAATACTCTATCACTGAGCTGTAGCCAAAGAGCTATAGGTTTTGAGTCTCTAAGCAGCAGAATCCCTTCCTTAAAGCCTCTGTGAAGGCCAGACATGGTGGCACATGCCTGTAATCCCCAAGATTCAAAGTGTAGTCCCCAGAGTAGCAATATAGGCATGGCCTGGGAGCTTGTTAGAAATGGAGAATGTTGTGCTAGGTGTGGTGGTGCATGCCTCTAACAATCCCAGCACTTAGGAGGCTGAGGCAGGAGGATTGCTGCGAGCTTGAGGCCAGCCTAAGCTATATGGCAAGTTCAAGGCTAGCCTGGACTACAAAGTGAAACCCTGTCTCAAAAAAAAAAAAAAAAAAAAATATCATGGCCAGGACTTTCAGGAGGGGAAGGAGGCTTTCTAGGCTTCTTTGTTCCACCATTATTGGAAAGTGACCTTAGCAAGACTTGCATTCCTCTTGCCACCTGAGCTTGAGGCCTCCACAGAGATCCCACAACCTCTCTGGGTTCCCCAGGCTCTGCAGAGCCTGCCTGCTGGAAGAGCTTCCAATTCCAGGGTGGCCTCCCTGCAAGATGCCAGTGGGAGGGGGAGTGAGGGGAGCCAGACTCCACTAGATTTCACATCTGGAGCAAAGACTGGCCAAGAGGGTGACTTTTCTCTGTCCCTCCATCTAGAGAGGTGCCAGGCCACAGCTGTGGCCCTGGGCAGTTTCCCGGCAGGCGGGCAGGCAGAGCTGTCTCTGAGACTGGGAGAGCCATTGACCATCATCTCTGAGTAAGTCCGGGGGCACTGGGGACCTGAAGATGCACTAATGGGAGAAGGGGTCTCACCAAAAAAGCACAAGGCCTTTGTTGAAGCACTCACAGGACTGTGACCCCGTGGTAGGTTTCAAGCAGCTCAGCACAGCTTCAGGGAGAGGAAGTGGGGTTAGGCCCCTGGACCTTGCCATCTGCACCACCCTGGCCAGGGGAAACCTGGGAAAAAAGTGATTGAAGGCTCCAGCCTGAGGGACTCCTTGTGAACCCCAAAGGTATGGTTCCCAGGGCCTTGGCTGTTCTGAAGGAGGTACCCTTCTGCTTTCTCTCTCCAGGGATGGAGACTGGTGGACAGTACTGTCACAAGTTTCCGGTAGAGAGTACAGTGTCCCCAGCGTGCATGTAGCCAAAGTCTCCCATGGGTGAGTGCCCACCCGGCCTGCCTTAGGAGCCTTCCTGTTTTCTCTTCCCACAAGCATTCTCCATTATGCTTTGCCCAGCACTGAGTGAAGCTGGGGATAAAGAGAATCAGGCCTGGCCCTGTCCTCCGGAGGAGCAGATGACAACCAATTCTAGCAAACTGTCCCTTTGTGGAAGGCACTCAGGAAGGCCCCACAGAGAAGATGCCCTGGTCTGAGTTTAGAGGGTGGCTGGGATCTAGTGGAAAACTCTGACAGGGACATGCAAGAGACAGGCACAGTCTGCATAACATCTTTAGGCAAGAAAACAGAGGGGCAGTTCTTGGAAAGGTGAAGGATTTGGAAAGATGGGTGGACAGAGCTGCTGGGGAAACTGAGGAGTGGTAGGAAATGCTGGAATCGCTCTAATAGCCCCCCATGCCACCTGGGAATGAGGTTTCAGGCAAAAAAACTGAGGCTGACCCAATGAGGTCATCCTCCTGGGTTTCTGGAGCCCCAGGGGTTGGGGGGCTGCTCTTCAGGGTACAGACTGCAGCAAAGGAGGGAGGGCTTTGTCAAGGTCACACATAGTGGGGAGGGGTTCTAGTAAAGTCCCATCTTGCCCCCAGGCTGACCCTGTCCCACTGCTTTGCTCCTCCAGGTGGCTGTATGAGGGCCTGAGCCGGGAGAAAGCTGAGGAACTGCTGTTGCTGCCTGGGAACCCGGGAGGGGCCTTCCTCATCCGGGAAAGCCAGACCAGGAGAGGTGGGTGAGCCCAGCCCCAGCCCAGGCCTCCCTCTCAGGGTGGTCTCAGGAGAGGAGCCACAGAGAGCAGGCTGTCCCTTACTCCTTGTCACTCAGTAAGCCAAGATTTCTATGTGACTCTGTGGGGCCCGGGCTGGGGGAGATGGAGACAGCCCATTATGGCAGGAGCAAAGCAGCTAATTGGGATAATAAAAGAAGGTTTCCTGCAGGAGTTGAAATGAGAAGTGTGTTCCTGGAGGAGCACAGGCTGCCAGGCACAGTTGTTCTGGGGTAGAGAGGGAGCAGCACTTGCAGGACACATGAGGAGGAGTGATCAAGGTCAGTGATAAGCTCACACTTTCTCCCCGGGGTGGTAGGAGTCAGCAGAGATTGGTTAGCTCTCAGGACAGTGACTGCTTTGTGGGCCACCTGCTTAGAGATGGAGGGGAAGGAATGGGCAGGTTAGGGACACTGAGAATCATATCCTCTGATACTGAAATCTCTGTGACACTAAAAATTACAATCCATTTTAATTCAGGACTTCTGAGGGTTTTGCCTTTGTCTAACTGGGCATTTCCCAAATGCTTTGGAACACAGAAACTTTTCATCATACAGCACCTAGTAATATTCCCCCATATCCATTCTTTCAACAAATGCTTCTCAAGTTCCAAACCTGTGGGGAAGCTTCGGAGAGGGGAAAGAGGCTGCTGTATGCACCGGCCCTCCCCTCCCCACGTGAGTCAAGTGGACCTGGTCCTTACTCAGGCAGCTCCCAGGTCATTAGAAGCCAGCGTTTCATGGCACGCACATCGGGGAACAGCTGTGTTGGACATTTGCAGTTGTGCCAGTGCTTGTCCACTCAATGCCAAGAGCCAACTGTGGTATGACTTACAGGTAGGTAGAGGGAAGCCAAATGTGAAGGGCCAGGTATGTAGCCTTGGAGTCAGCCAGTCTGGCATCTGACTGCTGTTTTGCTTCCATGACAGCCCATCAACAATAGGGTAATAATCTGCATTTGTAAAAGCAGGGAGTTGGGTTGAGGGTGTAGCTCAGTGATAAGAGCACTTGCTCAGCATGTGTAAGGCCCTGGGCTCAATTGCCAGTACCACAAAAAAGTAATAAAAGTGGGTATGAATGGCCTATAGCAGGGATTCAGGCTTATTCAACACTTTGGTACCTGGACGTAGAGTGCCAGGATTCCCCTACCCTAATCACCAAGGATTCCTTCCTCCCCAAGATGTAACAGGATCCTGATTTGGCAAAATGTTCTTGTTCCAGGCCCCCAAGACAGACATCAGGTGACAGTAATGTGGGAATTTCAAATACAGTTACAGCCTAGGGAAGAGGCACCACGGACAGAAGGCAGATCTCCTGTGCCTGCCCTAATGTGAACTGACTGACGAACTGGCAGGGTCCTTAGTTCTCTACCTCAGGCTCCCCCCAGCCCACCCCCTGGGGCCCATCCAGCCTGACTTTGCCCCTCTTCCCCTTCCCTTCCGAGCAACCTGAGGGGACTGCTCCCCAGCTCCTCCTGCTAATTTCCAGACAGCACTGGCACCTCTGTCGCATATCTCCGCATATCTCCGTGTGCTAACTGCAGGAAGGGGGGCTGGCCCCAGTGCAGCAGCTGCAAACAGGAAACCACAGCAGCAGTGCTGACTGGGATAGGAGCCCTGCACACCGACCAGCTAGCTGGAGAAGCCACAGGAAGTGCTCAGCTGTCTTGCCCCACCCCTTCTCTGCCCTGGCTCAGCCCAGAGTCTAGTGACCAACCCTTGTTGCCACTGTGCCCTTGTCCCAAGAAGGGACATGTACAAGGGGGAGCCGGGTGTGATGGTGCACACCTATAATCCCAGCACTTGGGAGGCTGAGACATGAGAACTTCAAATTATAACCCAGCCTGGGGAATTTAGCAGTTTAGTGAGACCCTGTCTCAAAATAAAAAGTAAAGAAGGGCTGGAAATGTAATTCAGTACAAGGGACCTGGGTTCAATCCACAGTACTGCCCCACCCCCCAAGAAAGAAAAATTTTAAACTGGGTATAATGGTGCAACCTATAATCCCAGCACTCAGGAGGCTGAGGCAGGAGGATTGCCATGAGTTCAAGGATAGCCTGGGCTACATAGAATACATAGCAAAACCTTATCGCAAAAATAAAAATTTGAAATTTTAAAAAAGGATTAAGGGGCCGGGGATTTAGCTCAGTGGTTTCTCTGCCTGCTGCACAAGCGCAAGGACCTGAGTTTGATCCCCGGTACCAAAAAAAAAAATGATTAAGGACCCACATATTTGCTGGGATTAAGGTCCCCATGGCTAACACCAAAAGGGGACAGATCAGAATGCATCTCTTATGAAACGGGGAAGATACATGCCAATCCTCTAAGAAAGGTTGATGTTTTCCCAGTGCTAAATATAATCTCTTACCTGAGGCTTCCTTTTGAGAAGTGTTTAACACAATCACGACAGGGCCATACATGCATGACTGTCCCATAGGTGTACAAGCCAGTGGAAACATGTTAAGCTGTAGGCTTAACCTCTTGACCAGTCATGGTCAAGAAATCAATTTAGAGGGCTGGGGATTTAGCTCAGTGGTTCTGCCGCCTGCCTTGCAAGCACAAGGACCTGAATTCGATCCCCAGTACCAAAAAAAAGCAATTTAGTTTGGTGTTATTGTTTAGTTCACTGTGGCTTTCAACCTAGGAGTGCATCAGAGTCATCTAGACTTGTAAAATTGAAGACAACAGCCGGGCATGAGGTTGCTCACCTATAATCCCAGCAGTTGGGAGGCTGAAGCAGGAGGATTGTCAGGAGTTCAAGGCCAAACCAAGGCGTTAGGCCCAACTTGAGCCTGTCCATGTCTTTCCCAGGCCTAGAAAATGACCTGACACTGGGAAGTGGGGCAACTCTCCCACCTGTAGGCCTGGCCTGATTGGTGTTCTCAGGACCCCAGCTTTGCTCCTTGATCCACACACAGACTCTAATCCCAGAGCTGTATCTGGATCAGGGGCTCAAGAAAGCTGATCGTGGAACTCAGAGTCAATGGTTAACTCCCTATATATATATCAGATGATTCCAGGTTCAAGTAAGTTTGGGAGACAGTAAATTAAAGTTAAATAAATTAATTTCTTTCTGAATGATTTTGAGCCCATAATATGCCTAATGGGCATTTCCAAAAAGTTTTAGATTACTCAGGTGGTGGTGGTGCACATCTGTAATCCCAGCATTTGGGAGACTGAGGTAGGAGAATCACTGAGTTTGAGGCCAGCCTGAACTACATAGGGAGACCCTGTAAAAGTTTTAGATAGGGCCGGGTATGTGGCTCAGTGGTACTGTGCCTGTCTGGCAACTGCAAGGTCCTGAGTTTGATCCCTGGTACCAGAAAAAAAACCTCAACTTTTAAATAACTGACAATTTGAGTTTGTTTGATTTTTTTGTTTGTTTGATTTTTTTGATGCTTCACCTAGAAATTTGTTCGTGTAACTTCAGTAATATATTTTAAAGATTCAGGTCAAAATTCCATTATATATACATTTTCTTTGTGATAAAAATATTTATATATATTATATATACAAATAACAAGATGCACATGTAAAAGACATGGTCCCCACCACCACCACTGCTTTTTTCAGTGCTGGGGGTGGAACCCAGGGCCGTGGACATGCAAAGCACATGTACTCCCCCTGAGTTGCACCCTTACCCTGACTTTATCTCTTGTTACTTTATCTTGGGTTCTCTAGATTAGAACTGTGTTTTCAAATTTAAAAAAAAGAACCATCCAGAGAGCTTGTAAAGGAAGCAAATCTCTGGCCTCTGTCCCCAGCAGCCCAATTCAGTGGGTCTGTAATACGGTTTGAGAGTTGGCATTGTCAACAAGCACCCTGACAATTCCTGTACATTCAAATATGATGTCTGTGACGTCACTTGGGCCTCCAGAGCCTTGGTGTCAAGGTTTCTTTGACCACAAACCGCAGAATAAAGTTTTATGCTGTGGCTCAGGACATATCAATATCTGAAACAAAACTTTCATGCAACAGTGTTTGCCCTCCCATCTTACACTGGGGTTTCTGCCCTACTTCACCTCAAACACACATGGACCAGCCTTGACTCTTGGTGTAGACGAGTCACCTGGGGAGTGGGATTTTAGATTCCAGTGCCCAGGGTGCATTCCTGACCAGTTAAATCAGAAAGCTGGGAGTGGGGTCCAGCCACTCACAGGTTCTAAGTGTCCTTTAGGTGATTCCAATGTGCAGCTGATTAGCAGTTCTCAAAATGAAGTCCCCAGGCCAGCAGCATTAGCACCACCTGAGAATTTGTTAGAAAGGGCTGTGCTGAGAACCAACCCTCACCTACTGAATCAGCAACACTGGACATCTGGCCCCAGATGTCTCTTTCTGTGTTTTTTGAGATGGGTCTCACTGTGTATTCAGGCTGGCCTTGAACTCACTATAGACTGTGGAGGTCCCAGAACCTGCTCTAGAGGTCAGGACCAAGGTTAGGGCCAGGTCCCAACAGCATTACCCCCTTGCTTTCCTACTGTCCTACTGTGTCTGTTCTGTTCTGGGCACTGTAAAGAAGATTGATGAGCAAACAGGGTTCCTGCCACCTGGGTGCTGAGTCTGCCCATCTGGCAGGTGGGAAACCCTTCCTGAGCATCTTCTCCCAGCCAGGTCAAAGTTGTGGCTCCTGTCCTCAGGCTACCATCAGAATGGCCTGAGGGGCAGCTTCTCAGAGGCCTGAGCAGAGAAGTTTGCTGAGTCCTGCTAGGCCCGCTTCCCACACCCAGGCCCTAATCCAGTCCCTTGCACCTCCTCCTGGCTTTGTTGTTGGAATACTAATCCTGGAGGTGCTGAACATGATGTTGCCTAGACCTGCTGGAGCTTTCTAAAATCTGGGACCTTGTGCTGTACTTTGCCTTTTTCCTGTGGATCTTCCTCTAGGCCTAGTGTCCAGCCATCACTGTGCTCTCCACGTACTCCATGAACACACTTGTTCTGTCCAGTGCTGCCCTCTGACACACAGTC